CCGAGTTCCACCTTCGCCACCAGGCCACTCTGGGAGCCCCGCACCCCGCACCCCCGGTGAGTCCCTTCCAGCCTGCCCTCCTGCCTGACTTGGAACTCGGCTTGGCTGTGGAGCCCCACACTGCGTGGCCCCTGGCTCCGTAGCCCTACCTTTGGGATTCTGCCTGGCCCTGTCAGCTTTGAGAACCGCTGGCCTTGCCCGGGGTGGATTTAGGCACCTGGGCACCACAGGCTGCCTCGGGCCTCTGGGCTGTCCATTCCTTCTAGCTCTGGGTCCCAGGACCCTGGCTTCCCATGGCTCTGCGATTGCCCCCACATCCTGGCCCCAACTGGAGCCTTTGTCTTCTGCCCCTACCAGGGCCTGCTGAGCCAATGCGCCCCAGCCGGGCCGAGCAGGCTGCACCTGCCGGCTGGTCCCGTGCACCGGCTTTGCAAGGCTTAACCCGGCTCACTCCCGCCTGCCGTGCCCCGCAGCTTTTTATCCCATGTGGCTGGGGTGCAGGTGGGGAAGCACACTAGATCTGGAAGGCTCCCCTCTTCCGAAAGCTGGAGTCGGAATCCGTTTAGTGGGATTTCACTAAGAACGGGGCAGTGCGGGCGGCAGGCATAGCCAGCACTTGGACCTGGCTGGACTCCCAGCTTTTAGGATCACTCAGTGGTAGCCAGCCTTGAACTACAGTTTGCCTCAGCCTCAAAGGGAAAATTATGATTTTCAGGGTTTCCAAGGTGTGTCGGTCATTTCCTTACCAAAAAGCAAGAAAAGAATTTCGTTTGTTTTGGAAAAAGCCGTGTCTTCCAGGTCAGGAACATCTGGGCATGAGCTCCTGGTCTATGCAGGTACCCCGTGCTGGGATTCGTTTATGGGCAACAGACCTTGAGAACCAGGTAGAGCCAAAGCGCAGCCCGAGTGTCTGGAGAATGTTTCCCAGCCGGGTTGACAAATTGCAAACAAATTGCATCTAAGGAAAGGGATTTAGCAGTTGTCCTGCCGCAGGGCACCAGGTGCTGTGAGCACCGCTGAGCTGCTGGTGGAGGAGGCAGAAAGGCGGGGTGATCTGTGGGTCTCCATGGGGCTTCGGTGGCCAGCCGCTCAGCAGTAAATTAGAAGCTGCTTAAGAGATAGAGCCCCAGTGGTGCCAGGGCCAGGGTGTCGAAGCACCCAGGACCGTGGGCCCCAGGATTCCACAACAGGATGACAGAGCCAGCAGGAAGGCCAAGGAAGACAGAGCTTTCTAATTCGAGGGGCTGGAAGTGAACCTCAAAGAGCAGAGGGCTAGTTGCAGCGGCAGTGAGGAAGGAGCTGAACCCTACTGGCCTTGGCGTGCTGGTGACTTCCCAGTGTCCCCTGACGATGAAGCCTTGGAGGCTCTGCCTGGGAGAGTGAAATACTCCTTCATAAGGCTGTCCCTAAGCAAAGGCTTCCTCCAGCCCCCACCCGCTGTGGGCCAATTAGCTGCCCAAAGGAGAAGGTGAGAAGAATTAGGTTTCAAAGAGAGCGAAAACTTAGGATCCCAGAGGGGCTGCTAAGCACCGGTGAAGTTTAAACAAAGGGCGCAGCATGGAGCCGTGAGCCGGGTTGCTCAGGGCCCTGGCTTGGCGGACCGTCATGGTTTTGCACCAGCTAAGTGGCCCTCCAGAACCCGGTCTCCATCCCAGGCAGAAGCCCCTGGGCTGCATCGTTAAATGCTCTAACAGGGATTCTGGGGTTACTTGCAAAAGTCCGTTAGAAAATTCTGTTTGGTGACCGATCTTTCTTTATCTGGAGAAATCTTGTTTCCCATAAAGAAAATGACAGCTTCTTAACGTGATCAAAGGCCTGCATTTCTAGCTCCGAACGAAACAAAAATTGAAAAGGGGATAGTGTCCCTTGTGAGATGTTCTAAAATCCCTAGTCCCAGTATACGTATGTGCAAGAACTGGAATAAATGTGCTGTCATCCAGGTGGGAACGGCACCCGCAGAGACCTCAGCCCTTCCCCGGGGCTGCGCTGACTCTCCCTGTAGGTCTGCTCCGAGGTAAGGTGGTAGGGTCATCCAGCAGGCCTGGTGGGTGAGGTCCTGCCTGCCCTGTCTGGCTCTCGCAGCTAGTCACAGCGCAGGACCCATTTATCGGCTAGCGCAGCGCCCTCCTTGCTGGCGCTGCGATTTTCTCTACCACGCGGGTTCATTCCTGCGGGAGAACCGGCGGTCCCGCCTCCGACGCAGGAGCTTCGGTCTCAGTGGCAGCTGCGCCGAGCCGGCTGCTGGCCTGTAGTTTCTAGGAAGGCAACTCTGGGGGCCTCTGAGGACTTGGCAGAATTCCCTTCCCCGTTTTCCTCTCCAGCCTAGAATGCGGGCAGGCAGGCTGCTGCGGGTCTCCGGAGGCCCCAGCTCAAGTGCTGCTTAACTGCCCAGCAGCTAAGCCCTGTGCGCAGCGATTTTCTGAGACGCGGAGCGGGGTAATTAAATCCCCACCTGCACTCGCTCTGCCCAGGCCCGAGAGGGCTCTCTGGCGGACACTGGAACACGGGGCTCAGCCGGGCCGGCCACCTCCGCCGCCACAGTCTAGGACCAGCCACCAAGGGCAGAGGCCGAGCTGGTGGCGCTGACACTCCAGCCACCAGCACTCGAGAGCGGTGGATCTTGGAAACCGCGCGTTCGGGGGAAAGCGGCAAATTACCTGCTTTGCTTTGGCGAGGGCCTCCGTGGCCACCTGCCTGCAGTCGCCGCTGGTCACTGTCGGGAGGGGACCTTTCGATGGGTTCCCGCACCTACCGCCCGCGGTCGCTCTGGCCTCCCGCGCCGAAGTGCACTGAGCCGCTTGCCGTACGCGGAGCGGAGGTCCCAGAGATCGCGGGCTTCAGGGACTCTTCGTGGGTTTTAAACTCTGTGGTGGCGTTGGTAAATCCCGAGTTATGGGCATGGAGAAGCGAAAGCGGAGGTCCCGAGAGGGGCTGGGCGGGGGTCCCCAACACACCTGAGCTTGGTAGACTCCATTGGGCCCAGGGCGCTAAGCCGGGGGGCCTCAGAGCCGAGGCGTGAGGCCCCGCTCCCGCCTTTACCTGCGCCGGGCCTGGACAGACAGGCAGACGCCGATCGCCGAGGCAAGAGGGGTCTGGCCGAGCCTGAGCCGGCCTGGGAGGGCGATGGGGGCGCCGGGGAGCTCAGCGCGGCGGCCGGGCGCCCCGGAGCCAAGGGGACACGGCTCTCCTCCCGCCTCGGATTATTAAAAAGTTAATTTCCTGGCGAATCGGGTGACGTCAGGGACCCGGCGTCGCGGTGGCGGGGCCGCCGGCCGGAGAAGCCGCCTCCGGTTACCCAATTACCGACCGTCAATCGCGCCCCTCCCCCCGGGTGGCCGGGACCCCCGCCCCCCAACCACTGAGGGGCCCGGGGCGCCCACTGAGACTTAAACCTGAGGTCGGTGGCGCCCCTACACCCCGCACCTGTCGGGCTCCCCCCAATGTCTTGTTTCCTGATCCTCCCCCCAGGCTTCAGGGTCCCCTGTGCCCACGTTCCCCCCAGGAGCTGCGGAAGGGTGCAGGAAGAAGCGCATACCCCGCCTGCCCCCGAGATAGTTCCCGGAGTCGGGATGTAGAGAAAGCAGCTCCGCGGACCTGGAGACCCTGGACTGGGACCCCGCCTCCCCTCTCTCTGGACCGCCTTGGGGAGTACCCCTGGAGGGAAACGGCTGCGCCTGCCCGGGGCGTCTCTCCCGCTGGCGCCGGCGCCAGGCCCGCTCTCACCGCTTAGCCCGGAGCAATGCGGCCAGGGGTCTACGAGGCCACGCCCGAGGGGACGCCCTCTCCTGGCCACCTCCCCCTCCGCCATCTCCCTGGACCATCTCCCCCGCCCTGCCCAGCCCAGCTCTGGCGACCCCGGGACCCAGACCCAGTACCCTCTCGGAAGCCCGCGACCCCCAGTGCCCCGGCCCAGGACACAAGTCAGGGGAGGTGGCGGCTCCCGGTGGAGCGCGTCGGTGGAAAGTGGTGTGGCCGGCATCCTGTGTAGAGAGGGCCCCAGGAACGGGTGAGCCTCGGGGACCCCTAGGTCCGAGGGACCGCGCTCGGGGCGGGGGGTCCTGGGACAGGGGCGTAAGCCGCGGGGCCGCCGCCAGGGCGCTAGGAGGGGGCGCCCGCGGCCGGCCGAGTCCCGCGGCGGAGTTGCGGGTGCAGCCAATAGGGAGCGGAGGCTGGGCGGCGCGCGGCGCTGATTGGCTGGCGCCGGCTTCTTAGGCGTGCGCGGCCCCCGCTTCATGTCTGAGCAGGAGTCGGCAGCTGGCGCCAGCGCGGCCGGACGATGCCGAGCGGCCGGAGCCGGGCGGGCCCGAGGCCGAGGCGCGCGCCGTCCCCCGCCCCTGCCCCGTGAGCCGCGGCCTCCACACGCGCCGTCCCGAGTCGTAGCGGCGCTCCCCATTCTGCTCGCGCCTCCGAGCTGTAGACGCGCTGCGTGCGTAAGTTGGGGTGCGAGCGCCGTAGGGGTTTAGCGGCCCCAGCTCCAAGAGGTCTTCTCGGGCTGGGCCAAGGGGCGGGAACGCCGTGGGGAGAGCGTCTAGCTTCGTGGCTTCGAGTTCGGTGGGCGCGGGGGCGGGTACGTGTCTTTGGAGGCCGAGGTCCATGTTGTGCTGGCTCCAAGAGTCGGTGTGGACGCGTCGCCGCGAACCGGCGCCCGCGGGTGTCCGGGCACCAACTTTGAGTCTGAGTTCGTGTTTGTGCACCCGAAGGCCGGAGCGCAGCCTGCCTTGGGCCATCCACTCGCGTTTGCAGGGTTTCAGCTTGTGTCCCTGGGTGCATGGGCATGCGACTCGGGGACTACGGGTACCTACGCGAGTGTGCGTGGCTGGGTCCCCTCCCCCGTCTTCCTTTCGTTTCGAGCCGAGCGTTTTCTTCCTAACTCGGACCAGTCCTTCGCGGTGCCGGGGTAGGCCTTTGAGGGTGGCCGCAGCTGGCCGCGCTCCTCACGCCCCTTCATGTCGCCAGGGTCGCCACCGTCCCGCACAGACCTCGAGTCACCGCCGCGGGCCATGGAGGTGGCGCCGGAACAGCCGCGCTGGATGGCGCACCCTGCGGTGCTGAACGCGCAGCACCCCGACTCCCACCACCCGGGCTTGGCGCACAACTACATGGAACCGGCACAGCTGCTGCCCCCCGACGAGGTGGACGTCTTCTTCAATCACCTGGACTCGCAGGGCAACCCCTACTATGCTAACCCGGCGCACGCGCGGGCGCGCGTCTCCTACAGCCCCGCGCACGGTGAGCGCGGCCCCGGGCCGGTGGGAGGGAAGAGGCCGTCTGCTTCCCGGATGTGGGAGCTGCAGAGCCGGGCGGGAAAGGTGGGGGCCGCGGTCCTGGGGAGGTCAATGCTTTTCTAGCCTGCCTGTTGAGGGTCTTCTCGACACTGTCCTTAACTCTGGACTGATCTTCCAGATTAGGACCAGTCGGGATGGTGTGTTTCGTTTCGAGCTCTTTTTGGTGAGGAGCGTGCTACTGTAGTTTTCCTAAGTTGTGACCCGTTTCCCTTTACCCGCAGCCCGCCTGACCGGAGGGCAGATGTGCCGGCCACACTTGTTGCACAGCCCTGGCTTGCCCTGGCTGGACGGGGGCAAGGCTGCCCTCTCGGCCGCCGCAGCGCACCACCACAACCCCTGGACCGTGAGCCCCTTCTCCAAGACGCCACTGCACCCTTCGGCTGCTGGGGGCCCGGGTGGGCCTCTGTCTGTGTACCCCGGGGCTGCAGGTGGGAGTGGAGGAGGAAGCGCCACCTCAGTGGCCTCCCTCACTCCCTCAGGGGCCCACTCTGGCTCTCACCTCTTCGGCTTCCCACCCACACCACCCAAAGAAGTGTCACCCGACCCCAGCACCACAGGTGCCGCTTCCCCAGCTTCGTCTTCTGCAGGGGGTAGTGCGGCCAGGGGAGAGGACAAGGACGGTGTCAAGTACCAGGTCTCACTGACCGAGAGCATGAAGCTGGAAGGTGGCAGTCCTCTGCGCCCAGGCCTGGCCTCCATGAGCACTCAGCCTGCCACTCACCACCCCATCCCCACCTACCCCTCTTATGTGCCCGCTGCTGCCCACGACTACGGCAGTGGACTCTTCCACCCTGGGGGCTTCCTGGGTGGCCCAGCATCCAGCTTCACTCCAAAACAGCGCAGCAAGACTCGATCCTGCTCAGGTAAAGGCGGCTAGGGGACCTGGGGACTGTGTGTAACTGTGGGAGCAACTGTGCTTTTGGAGAGGGGTTAGTGTCAGTCTCCCACCTGAGGATGGATGATATTTGAGGCCTCTCGAACTTTAACAATTCTGGTGGCCCCAAAGCTCAGCTGCTCATTCTTTCTCTGCAGTCTCTGAACAGAACAGGAATTGTCCCTTCCCTTCCCTGAAACTCAGCACAAATGCAGCAGCCTCATGACCTAGTGTGTGCGGGAATGCAGGCTGGAGGTGAATGCAGCCGCATGTGCCTGTGCCTGTGCCTGTGTGGACGTGTCTGTGAGCGTGTATGCTCGTGCTGCGGGTCCTGCAGAGCTCCCAGAGCCTAAAGGAATCTGGCTGTCCAGTGCAATCAGTCCATCTTAGAATTTCAGCAGCTCCTGATCTCCTTGGGAGATTTTCCCCAGAGCAAAATTCCCAGGACTTGTCTCTCACTCCAGCCCCCAGCATGTCCTCCAATGCCTCCCCCTGAGGGGCTGGGTGAGGGGATGAAAGCGGGTGCCCGCACCCCTGGACCAGCAGCAGCTGGACCAAGCTGGGTTTGTCCAGGAATCTGGCGACAGGGCAATCACCAATGGCCAGCACAGGGTGCCTGCTGTAGTTGCCTCCTGCCCAACTCCTTTGAGCCAGGGAGGGGGAAGGAGAATACTTAAAACTTTTTCTCCTGAGTCCAGGAACTGCCTTTTCTTGCTGGGATAGATGGGCAATTTATTGAAACCAAATTGAGGAGACCTTCCTGGGTGACAGGTCAATAAAAGGTGCCTGGTTGCTGCCCCAGCCTGGGTGCACCCTGGTCTACGGACCAGCTAGTTTGCCTGCCTGCTGTCCTTAGCCTTTTCTCCCAAGTTGTTTGTGTTTTATTTTAATTCCAGATGGCCTTTTAACAACAACGAAAACCTAAGAAACAAGACCACTTAGTTCAGAGTGAAAGAACTTTTTCTTTTACTTTAAAGAACAACAAATCTGACCGCATCCAGGACCAAATTCCAGGGTTTCAGGGAAGGGGAGGAAGAAGTTTCCTTTCTGACTCTGGATGGAGAGTAGAGGGACCTTGGTGGGGCTGAGGATGGAGACTGAAGATGGTGGCACTAGGGGAGATGAGAGGGGGACATAGGAGGAGGAGGAACAGGAAGGGGATGTCCGTCGTTGCCCCTTCTTTCCCAAACCGCCCTGCAGGATTTGGAGCAGGGATTTGGCCTTTAGAGGCTCTCTCATGGACACTTCCTGTGTCCTTCTTCCAGTGTAGACCTGGGCTTTAGAGTCACACACACACACACACCCCATCTCAAACTCGATGGGACCGTGTCTTCCCTGATCTTCCTCCCTCCCTGGCTTCTTTTTCCGTGAGCAACCTTGTCAGGCTCTCCCTGTCTCCCCGCAGAAGGCCGAGAGTGTGTCAACTGCGGGGCCACAGCCACCCCTCTCTGGCGGCGGGACGGCACTGGCCACTACCTGTGCAACGCCTGCGGCCTCTACCACAAGATGAACGGGCAGAACCGGCCGCTTATCAAGCCCAAGCGAAGGCTGGTAGGAGTGGGAGCCTCAGGCGGGTGGGCAGGCAGGTGGGCATGCAGACAGCAGGCACAAATGGCCCAGGGAACAGGGCACAAGCAGGAGTTTTTGAAGGGGGCATGACCTGAGCAGGAGCTGGGAGTTAATTACGGAGAAAAAAACAGGGCAACCCCAAACAAAACAAAACATAACAAAACAAACACACCCCAGAGCCTCACCACCTGAACTCTTCTTTTATCATTAAAATCTTTTGGGGGTCAGTGGGGTCACCCTCCTTCCTGGCCAGATTCTTTCCTGCCAGACTTCCTGCTCCCAAGCCCACCAGGTACCCTTGTGCCATCGTGCTCTGGGGATCCCCAGAGTGTGTCCCAGGGGCCACCCTTCCTCCTCTGGCCTCATCTCACTCTTTTTTAAAAATAGGGCCCTGAAGTCCTTTCCCGAGGCTGGTCTGGGCAGCCCTCCTGGTCTCCCCAATTCACTATCTCCTCCTGCTTATTTAAATAAAACAGGCTCACACCAGCCACCAAAAAAACCTGCCCTTTATTATTTTTCCATGGAGTCACCTATACTGTGTATTTTCATTTGAGTGATTTTTAAAAAAATGCCCTTTCGGATCTCCTGCCGGAGTTTCCTATCCGGACATCTGCAGCCTGAAGATAAGGAAACTTCGTGTATCTGTTTCCGGACTGCGAGAGTTTTCAGAGAGGCTCCTCGGCTCAGTCCTGCCTCTCGCTGGGCTGTTTTGAAATTTCTAATACCCTTCGCTCTGCAAATAATGCGTAAAATGCTAAGAATAATAAATATATTTTTTCAGGGCGAAGTGATTTATGAGGCTTAAATCGCTCACTGCTTTGGGGGCCCTTTTTTTCTGGCCTGAGGCAAGGGCAGGGTGAGGGCCGGCCGGTAGGGTAGGGTAGGGTAGGGTAGGGTAGGGTAGGGTAGGGTAGGATGGGGTGGAGGACGCGCAGTTGGTCCCTGAGTCAGAATTCCAGCTTCGGGCTGCTTACTCACCGCGTCCCTCCCCGCCCCCATGCTGCAGTCCCATCCATCCCCTTGGTGACCACTCTAGGTCCTAGCCGCCCCAGGCGCTGCTGGGAGGGGGGACTCCAGCCCCGGCTCTCTGGGAAGTCTTGGGAGAACTCGTGCTCTTTCTGTTTGTGCGGGGCTGGCGCTGGTGGAACCGCAGGAGGGGAAAGGTTCCATCATGCCTGGGTGCCTTCAGCTTCTTCGCTCGGGTCCAGACCCTCCCTGCCAGACCCCACCTTGGCCTGGCATTTCCTGAGGTTAGAGCTCTGAGGTTTGAGGAGTGGGGCTGGAGGAGGGAAATGTCCCAGATCTGTTCGGCTGGCCAGCCAGCTCCCGCCGTGGTAGGCTCCAGTCGCATGTGACCGTGGGTCACTAGGACTTCGGCCAGTGCAGTCGCAGGAACTGACGTTTTAATTTCAGCAAATGTAGCACAGTTTAATTTCAGTAGCCCTGCGCAGGCTAGTGCTTGTCATTCTGGAGGGGCCACTCTGTACTCTACACCTGGACCCCAGAATTCTGGGTGTTGGGAGTGGTGGGAAGGAGACCCAGTCAGCTCCAGCCTCGGGGGCTGGAGGGGGCAGAACCAGCTCAGGATGCCCGCACCACTAAAAGCCTCAGTTTCCTCACAGCATTAGGGTGCTCAGTAGCTGGGTGAGGTGATTTTCTTCTTAGCTTTTACAGTTGCTTCTAAGATCAGATTTCTGAGAGTTCTTTCTTCTAAATTTGTGCGGTTCTGGTATTCTCAAATTCTGTATGCCATGGTTCTGAGATGTGCAATTCCCCTGGGAGATTTCCACTAAGTGGCGGGCTGAGGGAGGTTGAGGTGGGGCGTGGGAGCCCAGCCTGCTGACGCGGCCTTTCCCCCTCCCCCCCCCACCCCAAGTCGGCAGCCAGGAGAGCCGGCACCTGCTGTGCGAATTGTCAGACGACAACCACCACCTTATGGCGCCGCAACGCTAACGGGGACCCTGTCTGCAACGCCTGTGGCCTCTACTACAAGCTGCACAATGTGAGCCCGCCCCGCCCCTCCCGGGGGACCTCTGGTCTTTGTGCTGCTGGGCACGAAGCCCCAGCCACAATATCCAGCTTGGCTTGGCTTGGGGAGCAGTGGCCGCCTGCCTGTGAGGCAAGCTTGGAGCCCCAGAAGGGCTTCCTGTAAGAGGGGGTGCTACTGACCAGTGGTCTCTGTGTTAGCCCAAGCTAGGGTCAGGGGAGGATTTGGGGTGTCCACATGGTGGCCATGATGGCATTTGTGAGCAGGAGCCAGGAAGCTTCAAATTATCCTTCCTGAAATGGTGGTAGTCCAGGCTTAGAGGGGCTTGGACAGGTGGCATTGGAGGCTGGACTAACATCACAGCTTCAGACAGCCAGAGCTCCCCGCTTGGCCTCCTTTGTCTCTTGGGGAAGCAGGGCCTGGAACCTGCCTTCTAAAGGGTCCGTGCTTGCCCTAGGTAAACAGGCCTCTAACCATGAAGAAAGAAGGAATCCAGACCCGAAACAGGAAGATGTCCAACAAGTCCAAGAAGAGCAAGAAAGGGGCTGAGTGCTTTGAGGAGCTTTCCAAGTGTATGCAGGAGAAGTCATCCCCCTTCAGTGCGGCCACCTTGGCCGGACACATGGCCCCTGTGGGCCACCTCCCGCCTTTCAGCCACTCGGGACACATCCTGCCCACTCCGACGCCCATCCATCCCTCCTCCAGCCTCTCATTTGGCCACCCCCACCCATCCAGCATGGTGACTGCCATGGGCTAGGGATGGTGTCCTGCTGCACAGACAGATAGAAGTCCAGGATGGGGGCACTCCCAGGATGGGTGGACCAGGCCCCACGCAGCCACCCCTCCCTGGAGACTGATACCACTCCTGCCAGCCTGCCGCCTCCAGGGCTCTGCAGCGCAGCAGCAGCAGCCGCAGCAGCAACAGCAGCAGCAGCAACTGCCGCCTGCCGGCTCTTACTGTGAATATTCTCAACCCGGCCAGCGGCTGCCCCCATCCCCTGTGTTGGCGAGGTCCCTTCGTGGACAATTGTCTGCAGAGCAAACAGGGACAACTTCGTGGAAAGACATGGAGGGGGTCGGGGAAAAACAAATACAACCATTTTTTGGAGGAAAAAGTAGACAAAGATAATTTATTTTGCTCTTGTTTCTAACAGGGACTCAGAAACTGGGAGGTCTGGGCTGCCCCGTACTGCCTGGGCCCTTCCTTGGGCCCATTGCCGCAGGGCTCTGGGGGCAGGTCTGTGGGGATGTCCCCCATGCCTCTCTGCTCCAGCTTCCCTCTCTGAAATCACTCAACTCCAGGCTGGGCCGCACGGAGGCCCTGGAGGCCGCCGGCTAGCTGGGGCTGGGAGCCAGTGTGGCCTGGCGGCCAGGCCCTGGAGGGCAGAGACAATCGCGGGCGGTCCTGCGCAGATTCCCAGGCCAGGGCTGGGTCACAGGAAGGAAACAACATTTTCTTGAAAGGGGAAACGTCTCCCAGGTCGCTCCCCTGGCTTTGAGGCTGAAGGCAGTGTGACTTGTGTGCCCCTAACGGGTCAGAACCACAGCCTGACTTCTGTGCCAGGCGGACCCCTGTAAATACATCTTTTTTCTGCTTCCCCCTTGACCTCTTCTCTCCTACTCTGAGACAAAATACTCAAAAACAAAACTGTATAAGCTTCACTTGTTTTCATTTTTTTAATTTTTAAACTCTTTCTGGGTCCAGTCAATTGTACGTTGCCACAGAAGCTTTTCTATGGGAAAGAATAAATCCAATAAACTAAGGTTGGCCCTTTGCGATTCTCTTTGAAAGTGTTCTTGAATATCATAGCCCTAGCAGGAGTAGGGGTGGGATTGGCTGCTCCTGATGTCCAGGACCCAGTGGGCTGGCTGGTAACAGAATTGGGGGGTGGGATCAGTGCCTGGGTGGAGAGGGCGTCCTGCCGGGGTCCCAGGGTTCTGTTCTGCTGTGGCTGTCTGGATCCTTGCAAGGTACAGCTGTATATAAACATGTCCCAAGACTCTGTACCCAGTGGTGGTGAGGTGCAGTGGCCAGCGAGGGGTCCCCCAGCCCAAGAAGACAATTGTGCTGATTTAGTTGACCAAGTGCAATAGGGCCTGCTGATCGCTGCGAGGAGCACCATAGCCAGAAGTAACTTATTTTGTACTAGTATCAGCATAAGAAAAAAAAATCAGCAGTATTTTCTGTTTTGATGTTTTATTTGGCTTGTTTTATTTTTGATTAGTGAACTAAGTTATTGTTAATTATGTACAACATTATATATTGTCTGTAAAAATTGTATGCTATCCGCCTATTCCTTTAAAGTGAATACTGTTAAGAATAATAAAATACTTTTTGTGAATGTTCTGGCCTGTCTTGTGGGTCCCAAGGGCACTGCGTGGCAGGTCTGAGCTAGGCAGCCTGTCCTCAGTGGGGGACTGAGGGCAAGGCCTCCTAGTTCTGGGTCTGCTTTTGACACCCTGATACTCTCTCCCTGAATCACTTCCGTTTAAGTTCCCTTTGATACCAAACCAAGATACCTGTGACTGGCTGGTGCTTTTTGAGAGCTTGAGAAGTTTCTTTTTTAATTTTTGTCTTTTTCCTTTTTATTGGTACTGGGGATTGAACTCACGACTGCCTGCTTGCAAGGCTTATGCCGCTGAGCTAAATCCCCAGTCCCTTGAGAAGTTTCTTGCACAATCCTAGGACCAACCTGAGTTCTTGTCCTTGTTCACTTTCTTGTAGGTACTGATGTGTTCTGAGTTTTGGTATCCACAACTCCTGTTCCTTGACAAATCTAATCAACATCTTTGATCACTGATGTCATTGATTGCTGTCATCTTTGATCAGTGATGCTGTTCATTAGTGACAGCCATGTCTGATGTTCCTGATCAATGATATTCCTGCCACCACACAGCTCATGGCTAACAACCAATTACTAAGAGGCAGTCACCAATATTTTACCGATAGCTCTGATGGATGACACATCTGACACTGACATCACAGAGCGTGGTCATCAGTGTCTCCAGTATCTCTCCTCTTGCCAGTGTGTTGATCACCAATGCTCCCTGTCGCTAACATCCTTTGCTAATTATACTAGCGCCAGTGTCACTGACCAGTGTTTTTTTTTTCTTTCCTTCTTAAAATTTTTATTTATTTTGGAATAGAGGTATCACAGTGTTGCCCAGCCTGCCCTCAAACTCCTGGGTTTAAGTGATCATCCTAACTCAGCCTTGTAAGTAGCTGGGAGGGACTGTGTGTACCACTAGACCAGGTGATTGGTGTTTCTGTGGTTTGATTTTGTGGCACTGGGAGTTGAACTCAGGGCCTTCACATTGAGTTATATCCCTAAGCTTTGTAGTCTCACTAAGTTTCTAAATTTCTTGTGGTGGTGGTGAAGCTTGAACCTGTGATTCTCCTGCCACAGATCATTCTTTTTTCTAATGATGTGATCATTCATGTGCGATCTCCAACATCACCAATCACACTATTTCTCATAACCAATGTCTCTTTAGCAATGTCCTCAGCCACTTAGCTCTGACACCAATATCTCTAACCAACAATGTCCCTGATCACACAATCCCCTCACCATCAAATTGTCTACCAAGGTGGTCACCAGTGAATCCTTGGTTGCTCACCTCCAGTCATCTCTAATCCCAACATCAGTGAGCACTGAATCTTTTTCACAGTCTCTGGTGGCTAAATGTCCCTGTCCCCCAGAGTCCTTTATACCCCTGGCCACCTATCCCTTGCCATCAGCATCACTAGTTACAGTGATCACTAGTCTATAATCAGCAATGCCTTTGACTTCCAGTGGGTGACCTATGGCTCTCTGTAGCAGGGTCTCTGGACGCCATGTCCCCAGTTGTTAAATCTGATCACCAAGGTCTCCTTTATTTTTAGTCATCCAGGATCTGAATACCAAATGCTGTCACCACTAACACTCCTAGTCACTTGCATCCTTGATGGATGATTGATGCCATATCCAATCCAGGATGGCTTTGAGCTCCAGGACTCCTAAGTGCTGCCTCCTGAAGGTCAGAATGTGACTGCAACTCTCTGATGGTATTTTGTGAACAACATCATCTCTCGGTGACTCTCTCATCCTTCATTATAAGTCACTCATCCCTAATCACCATCATCTCAGGTCACCAATGTCTATTCTCTGGGGCCCCTGATGATTAACATTTCTGATTGTTTCTTGACAGTTCTGAGGCCCACCTGGTCTAGGAAGTTCTTACTCTTCCTGGTGCTGGCAGACACACCCCCACCCCCACCCCACTTCCAGCAGGGGTGGCCAAGGTCCAGATATGGTACCACGTCCCACTTCAGACTCCTCCCTGTGGAATTGACACCACAGCAGCCAGTCAGTGCTTAGCTGGGTGAGCCCTGGACTCTTACTGGAGTGCTGTGGCCATGGGCGCCCTGCGCACCCCCATGGCTTCAGAGCAATCTTCCTCAGCCCTTCCTGCCAGCTGTAGCCACAGTGAGGGCAGGGACAGTCCCTGTGCTGTCTTCTAGGTCACAGCTGCTGGACTGTGTGTCTGACCACATGTTCAGATGTGTGTGTTGAACAATTCCTGCATGCCATGTACCTTTCTAGGTTAAGGCCACATCTGTGAATAAAATAAGCAAGAATTAAGTGAAATAATGATGCAATACTACCTGGTATACCTACTATGCTTGCCAGGCTCATAGTCCAGAGCCCAAAGCCAGAACCAGGAGTCCAGTGCATAGAGACTAGAACCTGTGGCCTAAAGCCCACACCCTGGAAACTGGGAAACAACCCCAGAATACAGAGCACAGAGCTTGGGCCCTGAAACCCAGAATTTAGAGCTTGGTGCTCAGAGTGTAGAACGTACCTAAGAACTCTAAGATGTAGCTCAGAGCCTCAGAATCCAGCTCCAATAGTACAGAGAGCCCAGAACTTTGGCCTTGAATGTGGGATCCCAAATCCACAACTGAGATCCAGAACCCTTAACTCAACATGGAGGACATGAAGGCTGGGATCTGGAGCCGGGTTCTGTGGCTCCCAAGTGACTCAAACCTAGAGTCTAGAACCCCACATCCAGAATCTAGAATGTGGCTGAGAACCTACAGTATCCAAAGCTCCAAACTCAGACCCCACAAGGGGCCACCTTGTTTCTCGGAGCACCTTGGCTTATTGTCCTTTCTCCCGCTGCTGGTGGCCCAGTTTTAGGGAGTACCCAGTGCTGGGCGTGGCGACTCCAGCCAGCAGGAAGCAAACACATGAGCAGGTTCCCTGTCCAGCCGCAGCAGCTGCAGAGCTCTGGGACTGTGTGCAGTCACCCTCTCTCTCTCCACTGCCAGCTCAATGGTACTTCCTGCGGGTCTACTGAACAGATTTGTTTACTCCACACATCTACTGACCTTGCTTGTTCCAGACATTTAGGTGGAGAACAACATACACACCAAGCCCCCGCCCTGGTGACAAGCTTTTGGCACAGAGGGCAGCGATGGGGGAGGCTGGGTATCTAGTTGGGGAGGGTGAGGACCTGAGGTTGGAGTCGCAGCAGTCACTTGGGAGCCACAGAACCCAAGCTAAGGGGGCTGCAGTCTGCAGCTTCTGTTCCCCGCTCTATACCCTGATTGTGGAGAGCCCTTGTTCCACACAAACAGTTTAGGTTCTGTGGACACAAAGCCCTGGGCAGGGCTGGACATGCAGCTGGGCGCTGCCAGTAGCCGCTTTGGGCAGGCAAGGTCCACCTTCACGGTTCCACGGGGCTCTGGCGCCAGGGCCGCTGGGGTGGGGTCAGCCTTTGTTCCATCTGTTTGCACCCAGGTGGGGCTCCCGGCCCTTCCTCTCCTCTGCTAGCTGCAGGCTCTTGGGTGTGGCTTCTTACTCCCATTTTCCATAGAAAGAAAGCAAACCACCTCTGGAATTCTTAGGGACCAGCTCAGTGCTGCTCCAGACCCTCCTCCTGGTGCCCCGGCCCTGAGATTAGAAAAGGATCAGACTTCCAGCTGGATCTCCAGGCCACAGATGGGGGGCTGTGCCCCCTGGGAACTATGTGGGGAAGAATGGGGGCCATTCATCTGCCTGACCCTGATCAGGGACAAACCTACCTGAGGTAGGACAGAGGACAAACAAGGTGGGGCGCAGTCCCCAAGGTGGGTGAGCCCTCAGTGAGTTTATGATGCAGATAATTCCATTCAATGCCATGGGCTGTTTGGGTCTGTTGTTTGTAAAGGCAATATGATAAAACGCTTCCAAACTTTATCTGGGAAAGATGAACAAGCAAGGCCAGCAGAAGAAATCAGAAAATTAGGGAAACTAAAGTGACAAGTATGTATGGGTATATGAAATGCTTTCCCATATAAAACAAGATTCTGTTATCACAGCTCTTCAAACCTGGTGCTGGCTGTTAGAATAAACACATCAATGGCAAGCCCAGAACAGATCCTGTTATTTACAAGGTAATGAATGAAGCTGAGATCTTGGATCAATGCCAAGGTAGGGCCTATTCAACCAAGGGGGTCTTGAGAACTTTTTTGGGGTTGCATGATATTTTCTAAAATGTGGACTAATGGCAAATGTTTCAAATTAGAAGATTCAGCCAGGCATGGTGGTGCACACCTATAATTTCAGGACTCGGGAGGCTGAGGCAAGAGGATCACCTTACAAAGACAGACTCTCTCTCAAAAAAAAAAAAAAAAAAGACAGGGACAGAGAGAGAGAGAGAGAGAGAGAGAGAGAGAGAGAATTCACATAAAAATACGCGGAAGATCTGTCTCTTCTCTAGGGTACGCAATTTCTTCAGAAATCTCCCCCTCCTGTTACCACCATGCCCTCCATCCTATTTCAGAGGAGTACATTTGAGTCCTGACATGTCACACATATCCTATTCCAGGCTTGAGATTTATTAAAGGCTTACTCTTTTCACTTTTTTCACAGTTCTGGGGATGGAACCCACAGCCTGGAACGTGTTCTCCACCCCCAGCCCTGACTGCTCACTAAAGCAAGATTGAATCTGGAGCACAGTCTTCACGCCCCACCCAGCTGGCGGGTCCAGTCTGGTTCCCCTACAGACTGTCAGAGGGACACTGGGAATGCAATGATTGTGTTTCATCTTTCTAGGAACCAAACAGAAACACTGGTGAACAAAAAGGTGGGCAAGCCTGGGTGGTGAGGAGGGTGGGTGGATAAACTGGCGCTTTAAGAAATCGGCTTTAAGGTGACAATTCTAGGTTGAGACTTGACTGTTACATGGTGGTCTAAACATCCTTTCCAAGCAGCTCTGGTCCCAGAGATTTCCGGGATGGCATTACGGACAGGATGGAGAGATTGTACACACCCTACATGCTCAGCCACAGAGGTGGTGGGCAAATGCCCAAAGAAATGAAAACATCAATGTAGACACGTGCTGGACGCCAGAGCCACCCACAATAGCCGAACGATGGTGGTGACCAGATGGGAATCCAGAGAGGATGGATGAACCCGATGGGGTCCTTACATACCATGGAACATCATTTAGGCTTACATGGGAAGGAAATTCTGGCGCGAGCTGCCTGTGGATGAAACTTGAGGATGCTAACAAGCCAAACCACAGGACAAACACTTTAGGGGTCCACTTATTCCACTTCCCAGGGCAGTGAAATCCATCACAGGTACTGGTGGTGTCCTGGGGCGTCTGGGACCAGGGCAGAGATGGAGATTGCATTTCACCGGAGTGGTTTCTCTTCGGGAAGATGGAGGCGGATGGTGCTGGGGATTGCATAATGCTGTGAAAGTGTAGAGCACCCTGGCCAAACACAGTCCCTATGACATCCCAGTGGAGGTTCACATGGTGCTCACAATGACATCTATGTGTAGACGGTTTTTTCCTTTCCTCCATTTTCTAAATGCTCTGTAATATGGGTTAATAACGTTAATGGTGAAATTAATATTCTACACTAATTATGACAGAATGGGAGTCAGTTTCCTAAAAATATGCAAAGATTCAGAATAAGAAATGCAATACAGAGTAAAAAGACCACCACCTTCAAAAAGAGAAACACACCCAGGAGGATAAAGAGGTCACCTCCGACGTAAGTGGCAACAAGCAGCCAGCAAGCATCCCCACAGGTATCTGACTGCAGGAGGGACAAAACCACCCAGGGACACCCAGGTTTTACCTCTCACCTCAGCAATCACGGCAGAGGCCAGGCAGACCCTGCAGGCTCCCATGGGTGGAGCTGACCAGCAATCCCGACTGTCTGGCCCAGAAATCCCAGAATGTCTGAGAAGTGGGTTGTAGAACAATATATAAAACATGATGGTATTTTTTGTTTTAAAATGTTAGTCTAAGACTGGGCAAGGTGGCTTATGCCTCATAATCCCTGCATTTAGGAGGCTGAGGCAGGAAGATTGCTGTAACTTCCGGGGCAGCCTGGGCTATACAGTGAGTTCAAGGTTAGCCTGAAGTACATAAGGAGACCCAGTCTCAAAAAAATTAAAAAGTCTGTATTTCATTAAATGTACAATGTTTATGGTTTTATGTGTCAACTTACATTTTTAATTAAAAAAATAAAAATATAAAATATTTGTGTTGACCTGGGAGTGTGGCTCAGTGGTAGAGTAATTGTCTAGTCTGTATGAAGCCCTGGGTTTCATTCCCAGTACTGAAAAAAAAAACAGAAAAAAAGAAAACCATCTAGGAAGATATGAGACTGATTAACAGTATTTCTTCAAAGTATGCTATCAACTAGGTTGTTTTCTTTTTTTTTTTTCTTTTTTTTGGTACTAGGGATTGAACCCAGGGTCTTTCAACTGAGCTACACCCCGCCTCTTGTTTTCGATATGAAATCTCTCTGGGTTGCTAAATTGCCCAGGCTGGGCTGGAACTTGAGATCCTCCTACCTCAGATTCCCAGACTGCTGGGATTACAGGCATGCACCGACATACTGGGCTTGCGCTAGTTTGATAATAGAGAATCATGAACCCCAAAACACTTGCCTTCCCCCAGGACCTCCCTGAAAGCAAGAGCACACCTTGCAGGACTGCCGGGCGCTAATATGACTGATGCCCATCTCTCCTGCTAGGCTATGGCCAGCTGCTCACCCTCCCAGAGTCCCACAGTGCTCACCGCACCATAACCACCTTATCCTGTGGCACCGATGTGCACCATGTGCTCATACACGCTTATTTTGTGGTCTCTGAGGCCCTGCAGCCCAGGCGTGGTGTGGCCAAGGCCATGGCTGCTGAACATGCCCCACCCTGTGTGTGCTCTATGGGGACAGCAGTGTCATTGTCCCTAGAAACCCTGCAGGGCAGGAGGAAGGGGGCAACTTGATGTCCTTTACCTCTTCCCATCTCCAACAGCAAAAGTATCAAGCCCCTCTGGCCCTCTATTCCTGTCCCCAGGGTGACAGCAGACAGGTCTCCCTGCCCTCCATGAAGGTTGTCACACTTTCCCCCTACACGGAGGTCCCTGAGCCCAAGACCTATTGTGCTGGGCAATTTTACATTTTCTGTAAACATAGTCACTTCTCCAATGGCAGGGGACAGGTCCCAACACCCCAGAGGCAGCCCAAAATCATGGACAGTGTCAAGCTGTAAATATGCTGGCTTTTCCTTACACGTATCTAAGATGAAATTCACTTTAAAATTTAGCACCTCACCCCTACCCCAGAAAAAAGAAAAAAAATTAGACCCGGTGCCAGGCATGGTGGTACAATACTTGTGATGCCAGCACTCCAGGAGGCTGAGACAAGAGCATGTCAGAGCTCAGCTTTGGCAATGCAGTGGTTTAGCGAGATCTTGTCTCAAAGTAAAAATCAAAAAGGGGGCCAGTGCTGTACTCAGTGCGAAGGCCCTGGGCTCAACTCTCAGTCTTGCAAAACTAAATACATAAAGCTCAATAAAAATTAATAATAAAACAGAGAAATCATACCACTTTTGCTGTTAATAAAATTGCCAGCATCACAACTCTTGCTGTCTGAAGCTGTTATTAAGTGAAATGTGGATCCTTTGGATTTTGAACTGTGATGCTGGCTGTGCACACAGTGGGTTATGGGCAGAGAGACGGTTCGTGCCCAGGCAGGATGGGGGAGGGTGGTGTCATTGAGCTACTTAGCGTGAAGAATGCTTTAAGTGTTATGAATGTTTATTCCTGGAATTTTCCATTTCATATTTTCAGACCTTGGTTGACCTCAGGGAACTGAAACCTTGGAAAGCAAAACTTTAGATAAGGGGGACTTCTGTCATGTCACAATCATGTAGCTGTTTTTCTACCACTTACCTTTCTTGCTGACCATCATAATTATAATGCCCATTCACTTTAATGTATAAAATTCTGGCTCATCCATTTTCACGACAGTATATTAGTCCATGGTATGAAGATAACACCATGTATTTGCTCATCAAATAGATCAGTGGGGAGTATTCTTGTCCCTGTGTCCCTGTAGGTGAGTTCCTGAAACAAGAGTCTTTATACCCTTGTAACTCTCAGATAAGGCTGAACTCAGGAGACTGAGGCAGGAGGATTGCAAGTTTGAGGCTTGTATGGACAACTTAGAGACACTATTTCAAAATTTAAAAGAACAAAATAACTGAGTTGTAGCTCATTGGTAGAGTGTCCCTCGTTTCAACCTCCACGACCTCAAAAATAGAAAAGAATATAAGGCTAAAGAATTGTTCAGCTTGGGGATATTGCTCTGAGACACAGCGCCCTGCCTGGCAAGCACAAGGCTGAGTTTGATTCCCAGGGCGGGGGGATTCTCCATACTGATTGTTGCAATTTATATCCTCACCATCAGGGTACAAGAATTGTTCTATGTCCTCCTCAATACTTTGTACAGTCAAATTTCCACATTTTTACCCTTTGGGAGGAACAGAAGGGAATATTGCTTTTGGTGAGGGATCGGAGGCCTCCCTGTTCCAGGGCAGGACCCAGGCTTGCCGGCCTCGCCCACTGACTGGTCTCTGGTATGTGTCAGGCCTTCATGCATGATCAGTCTCTCGGAAATCACCTTGCCAGGTGTCAGCTCCATGAGGCGCGGCTCTGCCTATCGTGTTCACTGGCACAGGGACCGCAGCCCTGGCGTGGAGTGGCTCAGGAAGTGTGTCTGATGGGCATGTGGATGGGTGAATGGGTGAATAGTTGGTTGAGTGGCTGGATGGGTGGCTGGATGGATGGATGAGTGGGTGGATGGGTGAGCAGATGGGTGGGTGAGTGGACGGTTGGATGAGTGAGTGGATGATTAGCTGGATGAATGGTTGGATAGATGGATAGATAGATGGGTGGGTGGATGGATGGTTGGATGGATGGATGGATGGATGGATGGATAGGTAGGTGAATGGGTGGGTAAAGGGTGGATGGATAGTGGAGGAATGGGGGATGAATGGATGGATGGATGGATGGATGGATGGATGGATGGATGGATAGGTAGGTGAATGGGTGGGTAAAGGGTGGATGGATAGTGGAGGAATGGGGGATGAATGGATGGATGGATGGATGAATGGGTGGATAGATGGATGGGTGAGTGGATGAATGGGTGGGTAGATTGTGGATGGGTGAATGGATGGATGGATAGATGAATGAATGGATAGATGGATGGATCGTTGGGTGGACAGATGAGTAGATGTAGTGGGGAGAATGGGTGGATATCTGCCAGTGTTGATGAGTGCATATACATGTAAGTTAAAAGATACTTAAGGCTTCTTCATTGGTCTTTTTGGAAAGACCAAGTAAGCCCCATACTTGAGAAGTGGCAGAGGCCCAGCAGTTGAGACCTCCCACAGGATTAGGGGCAACTATTGAAACTGATGTCCAACCCCATCCAAATCTGATCCAGGGAGGGGTAGACTGGAGGCAGGCCTGAGGGTGGAGTGTAACGGGTCTCAGAGGGTCTTGCAGACTGATGCCTTCGGGTAAGTAGACACCTCCATTCAGGGCTAAAGCTGATCCATGAGACCCTGTGGGCCACCAGGAAGGGCAGATGTGTCCTACAACCCCAGGAAAGGAACAGGACCCAAGTGGCACTTGTTGCCATGGGCTAAGGGTGGACAAGAAGCCTTTTGGGTGCAGGAGCCCATCAATACCAGGACCTGAGCTGAGGTGGCTGCATCACCTCTGGAGAAGAAGAGCATCTGTCCCTACTCTCTGCAGGACGTTCATGTCCCTTCCATGTCAAGTCACTCCCAGCTCTTCCACACCAGAGCACAACCCATGGACTTCCGATCCCCTCTCCTGTGCCCCCCCACCAAGCAGCCCCTTTTCTCCTCCACAGTCTCTTTCCCCTCTGTCTGTCAATCCACCCGTGACCAACCCTGAGAACACTAGCAAACGGAAGCACACAAGGCTGTCTGTTCTGAGCTGTCCTCACAGCCAGCTTACAGAGCAGGGTGAGGTATTGCCCCCACTGTACAGATGAGAAGAGGAAACTGAGGTTAAGCAAGGTTAAGCGACTTCCCAAATAATACACAGCAAGAAGTGGCAGAGCTTGGATTCAAACCCCTGGCAGGTAAAGCCCTTCACCACCATGTGATCTGTTCCTCTGTCCATCCGTCCACTCATCTCCTAGCTGTCTGCCACTTGTCCACCCATCGGCCCATCCATCCAGCACTGTCACCCATCCATCCTGGAGGTAATGCAGTTAGAGCACCGGGGCCCTGCGGGGCAACAGGCCCCAAATTGCCCATCTGGTCAGGCCAGGGAGGACTGAGTGGGGGCTGCCCTGGGCAGGCAGGGCTGCGCGGGACTGGAGGGAATTAGCCGAGTGACTGCCAGGATCATCTAATTAGGGACGCTAGTGATAAGCAGATAGCATCGGGGGTGATTAGAATCCTTTTAAAAAGCTACTCCATTAATTACGGAGACACAGAGGGGCCTCTGGCTGCTCAGAATACCAATCGGCTGCCTAATCACCCCATCAGCTTCCCAGGAGGACTTCCTGGGACTGCTGTGTGACCTTGGGTGTGCCCAGCCCACTCTGGGTGCTCCTGGGCAAGGGGTCAGGCGCTGTTGATCAGCCTCGTACTTCAGGTCCTTTCTCTTTCCAGACTGTGGGCTCTGGGGTGGTCTGTGGCCAGGGACACTGGACACCAGAGGTTGAGGCCAGGGAGGTGAACCCCAGAAGGGCTGCCACCACATGCTGGCGAGTTGGGACAATACCTTGGAGAGAGATATCAGAGCTAGGAGAGACAAGGACACAGCCCAGTCTCCCCCCAGGCCCTATAGAGGGAGCTCAGAGGGCCCCTGTGGCCCCGCAGGACCCTCAACCACGTTAGGCTGTAGGACCCTCAAGCTCCTCCTCCCTGGGGGCCAGTTTGTGGCTCCCAGTGCCACACTCTCCCTTATGGAGAAGCCCTGACACTGCCAAAAGTACCACTGTGTCCGTCATCACCACCACGATTGCTGCCACCTCCACCTCAACTTGTCACCATTGTCCACACACCACACAGCCACTATTACCATCACACTGCCATCGTCACCACCATCACCATCGACACAGCATCCAGAGTCACCATGCCCACCACCACTGCCTCTGCCACCTCTGCCAATGCCTCCCTTATCTCTGACTCCCTCCACACCACCTCCATGGCTACTGTGACTACCTCAGCCAGACACCATCACCCCGAGTCCCCCTGGTTTATGTCACCTCTGACACTGCTGCCCACATCGATGCCATCCTTGCCTCCCTGCCCTGGGCGACCATCACCATGACAAGGACAGTCATTGACAGGGTGACCTTCAGCCCAAGCTCATGGGCCCAGAGCACACCCAGAAGCCGTGGGGCTCCGGGTTCCAGGATGCTTCCCTGTGCTGCATCTGGGAGCTCCACAGACTTTGAATGTCACAGGTCTGCAACCAACATTTTCCTCGCATGGTCAGTCCCAGGTCGGCAACTCTGACTGGACTCCCGGGAGGAAGAGGACTCTGATTGTCCTCCTGCCCTCCAGGGTAGCCCTGGAAAAGGGTGACAGTGCTGCTGAGGTCACAGACCCAGAACCCACCCCACCAGTGCCATCACCCACTGCTCCACCGGTAAGTCCTTCCCGTGTTTGGCATCTTCCTCACCATGACCTGCTCATCACCATCCTCCACTGACAGGCAATGAGTGCCACCTGCCGCATCACCACCGCAGGTGTCACTGATCCCGTGACCCCACCAGCCACAGAGCCATCCCTCTTGGGATGCATCAACAGGGTCATCAAGGCCATGGTCTCTGCCCACATGTTGCGGAGTTGCTTGATCCATCCTTGTGCCTCTCGGGTGGGTGCCTGGGATTTGCAGAACCTTCTGGAAGGAGCAGCGTCCCCACCTGTGTGGCACTGGCAGGGATGGAGGTGATGGCAAGAGTGATCCCGTCAAGGTGGTGCAAGGTAAGAGTCGCTGCCAGAGGGGTGTTGGTCATAGTTCCCAGATGCCCTCAGATGCCAGGTCAAGCGAGAGAAAGGTTGATGCTCAGGACCATGGTGCCCTTCACCTTGTTCTAGGGCCATTGCAACAGACATCTCAAACCAGGTGGCTTCAAAAAGCAGATATCCGCCCAGCGTGGTGGTAGATACCTATAATCCCAGCACTTGGAGGCTGAAGCAAGAGGGTTGTCAAGAGTTCTGGCTACATAGTGTGTGCAAGGCCAGCCTAAACCATCCCAAAACGCAAAAATAAAAACAAGCAAAAAGCTTCTGTGCAGAGCAGAAATCTATTCTCTCACGGTTCTGGAAGTGGGGAACCAGCTCTACAGGGCGGGTATGCGCTCAGGGAGACCTACCTGCTTTTTCCTCTCCCGGTGGTGGCTCTTCTGGCTTCTCTCACCTGAGTCTGTCTCCAGACAGTCCCCTTCATGTGTTAGATTCATCTCTGTACCCGTTTTTCCAAATAAGCTCATGCAGGGGTTTGGAGGGGAACACAGTTGTTTAGGGGTTGGGGGTACTGTTCAGCCCAGAGCACTCACTTGTCTATATTATTATCTGCTTCCATTTTGCTCTCCAGGGTTGAGTGGGATCTAGGAACTCATTTCCACGACAGCCCCACACAGCCCTGCATTCTGACCTTCCTCTCCCTCATTTGCTGTGTGACCTTGAGCAGGTTGCTGCACATCTCTGAGCTTCATTCATTCAACACGTTTGCCAAATGCCATGCTCTCTTACCTCTAAGGATCTGAAGGGATAACAGGGTGCAAGCTAAACTCCCACCATCCATTACCTCACGCTTCCTGCTACCTAGTAGCAACCTGGCCACTGGGCCCGGGGGACACGAGGACTCATGTCTCGGGAAGTCCTCTATCCCTCCCCTGACCCCTGCCCCAACCTCCTAAGCCAGGAGCCCGTGTCAGGTGCCACCTCTGTGCGGCCTCCTCAGGGCTCGGCCAGCATCCCAGGGCGGCCAGCCTCTGGTTCAGCCCTGCGTGCCCAGCCCTTGTGTGGGCTCCGGTCCATATGCCCGGCTCTGCCTGGTCCAGCATGGGGGTGGGGTTGCCACGCCTTGGAAGCTGATGTCACAAAGGCTGGGCTCCAGCTCCTGAGACCTGCGGCCGGCCCCCAGCAGCTCTGCCCCTCCCCTCCCCCTGCCCCTCTGCAGACGGGGACTATGACGAGCTAACCCACTGAGGGGCACAGTCTCGCCTGGACCCCACAGCTTCACACCAGGCCCCAACTCTGCCACAGGGAGCCACGTCACCATGGCTAACTACTACGAGGTGCTGGGGGTGCAGGCCGGAGCTTCTGCTGATGACATCAAGAAGGCCTACCGCAAACTGGCCCTGCGCTGGCACCCCGACAAGAACCCCAACAACAAAGAGGAGGCCGAGAAGAAGTTCAAGCAGGTGTCCGAGGCCTACGAGGTCCTGTCCGACCCCAAGAAGCGCTCCGTGTATGACCGTGCGGGCTGTGATGGCTGGCGGGCAGGCGGCGGGGCCAGCACCCCACACCGCAGTCCCTTCGGCAGCGGCTACACCTTCCGCAACCCCGAGGACATCTTCCGAGAGTTCTTTGGTGGCCTCGATCCCTTCTCCTTCGACTTTTGGGACAGCCCGTTCGGGGGCAGCGAGCGTGGTGGAGGCAGCGGCCGGGGCACCGGCCTGCGCAGCGCCTTCTCGGGCTTCGGCGAGTTCCCGGCCTTCATGGAGGCCTTCTCGTCGCTGGACGCCCTGGGCCGCAGCGGGTCCCGCACCTCCTTCTCGGCTGCCGCCTTCGGGGGCTCTGGCTCAGGAAGCTCGGGCTTCAAGACAGTGATGTCGTCCACTGAGATGGTCAATGGGCACAAGGTGACCACAAAGCGCATTGTGGAGAATGGGCAGGAGCGCGTGGAGGTGGAGCAAGATGGGCAGCTCCGTTCGGTGACCATCAATGGCAAGGAGCAGCTCAAGCGGGTGGACAACAAGTGAGCGCCCGCCACCCGCATGGTCTTGGTTGCATCCCTGTCCCTGCGCCTGGGCCGTGCCTGGGCCACAGTGGTAGCTGAGGTTAATAAAGGTGCCTGGCAGTGAGTTCATGGAGACCCATAGCGGCTCTGTGGGGTGGGCAGGGCTCAGGGAACTCAAAGCAGTGTGTCCTACGCCACCTGCGTTACCTGTCCAGGGCACCCTCTGCCCTGAGCAGAAAGACCCCACGCCAACTTCCTCATGGGGACCCTGCCCAGCCCCCTGCAGCCTCCTGACCCCATCCTGCCTCCCTGAGCTCCAGCCATGCCGGCTGCCTGCCTCTACGTTCCTGCACTGCCCAGGGAGCACCATAGTCTCACAGCCTTTACAGGTGGTGCTGTCCCGTGAGCACCTGCAGGCTTAGTCCTCCACCTTCGGGTAGGTGAAGCAGGTTGGGATGAGCAGCTCCCAGCTCTCTGCAGGGCAGACACCCTCAGGGTATGAGTTCCCCACTGCAGAAGAAAGGAGGGTGAGGGGGCCATGTTCTGATTATGAGGCCTATTAAGTGCTAGTCTTTGTATTTTTACATTTTATATTTTTGTCTTTTTGAGACAGGGTCTCACTACGTAGTTCAGGCCAGCCTTGAACTTACTGTGTAGTCCAGGCTGATCTTGAAGTCACAGATATCCTCCTGCCTCAGCCTCCTCCTGAGTGTGATGAGTATGTCTTTTACAAATGTATATTTTAAAGGTTTATTTTAAAACAATCTCAAACTTAGAGATAGATCAGGTATTTTTATGTATTTCATTCATACTTGCATGATGCTGGAGATCATCCCCAGGGCCTCCCACAGGCTAAGACCCTGCCTGACTGCTGAGCTCACCCCGACTCCTGCAGGGATTGAACCCAAGTCCTTTGTACTGAGCTACATCTGCAGCCCTTTTTATTTTGAGACAGTCTTGCTAAGTCTCTAAGTCACTTGAGTGAGATGGAACTGGAAATCCTCCTGGGTTACAAGCTGAGGTTACAAGTGGGCTCCCCAAGCCTGGATTGGCCCTTTTAACTCCATGCGATAGAAGGGATGGTAATCGAGCACCTATTTGTGCCAGACATGGATCTAGGCGCTGTGATTATGCTTCAGGTCAAGCAGTCAGATTCCTTCCTCGTGGAATTAGGGTCCTGGGGACAATGAACACTGGATGGATGCACAAGCAGCCATGCTGAGGGCAAAGGGCCTGTAGGACACAGAGGAAACCTTAGAGAGGGGTGATGGGGGGCAGGACATTGGGCCCCGGGCCATAGGTGAGTAGAAACTGCAAGGCAAATGCCCCGAGGCCGGAACAGGACAGGCAGTCACATTTAACGCTGCCCCTCTCTCAGATGGAGCCCACTGCCTGTGGGATTGGGACAAAACTGAGGCACAGAGAGGGGTCCCATGGCTGGCAAGAGGCAAACCCAGAACCCCATCCTGGCTGTTGACTCCAAATGGCTCTACCTTTAAAATAACAATTATTATCAGCACTTCAGCAACAGCCCAAGGTAGGTGTGTGCCTATGCTGACCTACGCAAGCAGGTGTGTGCATATGTGTGTGGGCGCATGTACATGTGAGCGTGTCTATGAGAAGGACTCCTCTGCTTCTAACTCCTGGGGCTGCTTTCTCTGGGGCTGGAGCAGCAGCCAGAAAAGAAGATGATTCCAGGTCTGGGGCTCAAGGCTGATGGGCGACAGGGTCATTTCTGTGGCATCTGACTTCCAGCAGGTGCCTGATAAACAACGTGGAGTACTATTCCTGGGAACAGCAGGGGCTGTGCTCAGAGGACACCACTGGAGCAGACAGGTGGGGGACTGTACGAACCAGTGTGGATCCAGAGCTGGGTACAAAGCTGAGCAGGCCGGGAGGGATGTCAGCTCCCTGGGGCCCGTACAACCCATGTGGGTGCTGTAGCCTCCTGGCTCCTGGTGGCAGCTGCAGGCGGCTAACTGCGTTACTAGAAGCTGGGCCGGCCTGGCCTGCAGGAGGTTGGAGCCCACACCCCATCCTGCCCTGGGACTAACTTCATCAAAGCCCCACACGGCTCTGACTACCTGACCTCTGTCCTCACTGACCCAGACCTCTGTGCCCCCCGACCTCCTAATTTCCCCAGTCACCGTCCACCATGGCTGCATCAAGTGGTCGCTTAGCTGGGACAGCTGCTGGGCAAATGTGATTAGAGCCGGCTGGGAAGGTGGGCGTCTGTAGGGCCCCATGTGCCCAGCACCCCAGGAGCTGCACCCCAGGTGCCTGGCAGGACATGGCTTCTTGTCTGGCATAGCCCGGCCGCCGCAGTCCCTGTGCTGCTCCTGCGCTATCCATGACCCCAGCATGCTGAGACCACATATGGATGCTGAGGTCTACTTTATCACTGGACAGAAGGAATTGGGGGGTGCCAGGGACGAAGGGACCCCCAGCCACGGCACTGCCTGCCCCTCTTTTGGCATCTACGATGTGCTATTCCCTCTGCCCAGGCCACCTGTCATCTGTGGGCCCCTGGCCCTGACCATATATCTGGGGTGGAGGCACTGTGGCAGTGAGGGGCCCACCCCTACTTCACCTGGGAGGCTGCACAGGGCTGGGACAGCCATGCTGATGCCCCACGGTGGGCTGGGACATCCATGCTGTCCGCAAAAGGCCCACATCACCTGGCTTGTGGCCCCCTGGCTCCCCCAGCTTCCCTACTGGAGACACATACCTGGCCAGTGTGTGCCAGCTGGCCATGTGGCTGCTGCTACCTCCTCCCAGACCCCCGACAGCCCCTCTGCTCCCTGACTCCACGCTGCACCCTCTTTCTCACCTTCAAAGTTGGTGGATGTAGACCCCCTCACCTGGAACCCCACACCCAAACCCACACAGCTAACACCTGTCTCTGTCTCCAGTGTCATCGAGCTGTCTCCATAGGCTTTCATGGCCCTGGGTGTCTGAAGGGACCCAAATCCTCCTGGGGAAAGGGTAGACATGATGACTTTCAATAATGTCCTAACTGGGAGTGGTAGCACAGGTCTATAATCCCACCACTCTGGGAGGCTGAGACAGGAGGATCACAAGTTCAAGTCCAGCCTGAACATCCTGGGGTACATAATGACAGCAAAACTCTGTCTCAAAAGTAAACAAAAGAGCTGGGAACATAGCTCAGATCTACCCCCAGTACCTCACACACGGAAAAAAGGCAACATCTTTCCTGAATTAGGAAACAGTGACAAGGGTGACACAGCTCAGCCACAGGGCAGCTCGGGGGCTGTCACCAGATCTAGGGTTCTGACAGGGCACTTGTGAGATCTCCAGCCCCATGGGTACCCGCCCTCCGCTGGGAGATCACTCAACCCATTTACAGACAGGGACACTGAGTCTCGGAGGTGGAAAGACCTGGCCAAGGTCACTGGGCAGTCTGCACCACTCACCCCCTCCCCCTCAGCTGGGCAGTGGGTGGGGCGCGCCCCTCCCCACCTTCCTGCTTGTGATGTTATCGCTCTGATTTAATTTCAAAGACGGATTGAGCTGCGGGAGGGGGAGGGCTAATCGCTGTCGCCATCTGCCCCGTTGCCATGGGGATGGGCTCGCCAGTGCGATGCAGGGTGCACCCAGATAAGGGAGTGGGCCAGGGAGCCAGGGAGCGGGGAGTAGGGACACAGGGACGCCCATGGAGCAGGGAGCCCCAGCAAAGGGGAGCCTGGGGCAGGCCTGCAGTGCTAGAGGGTGAGGAGGGCCCAGGCCAGCTGGCAAGGAGGTAGCCAGGATGCCCGGCAGCCCTGCCTGCCCTGTATCCAGCAGTTTGCTGCTGGCTGGCAGGGGACTCCCCTAGCAGCCGCTGGGGCAGCGCCTGGTGACAGGGTCACTGCACCACAGACCCCAGCTGAGCAGCCCAGTCCAGCATGGAGGCATCAGTGCTGGCACCCTGGGACGGCTCCGCAACAACTGTGACAGTCCCTCGAGTCAGCACCAATGTCTCCCCACTAGCAGACATCACCTGCGCCTGCAGTGGGCACCGTGCTGACACCTGCACAGCACACAGGACGGGGTGGTCAGAGTGCCAGAACAGAGAAGCCCAGAGCATCCCTGCCTGTGCTGTCCTGTCCAGGCCACTCCCTGCTGGACATTGTGCTGCATGTCCCTAGCTGGCCACTCTACCACCATTCCTGCTGGCTAGCTGCACCAGGACAGGTCCTATAGGGAGGGGAGCACAGCTGCCAAGTGTCCCAGCACCCAGCAGGCAGGAGGTCCTCAAGTACCATCCACATCACCGTGAGGCAGGGCCACAAGCTTGACGAGTACCTCAGCCACTAGGCCTGACCCAGCCTTTATCACTGACTGCAATCACCTCCTGGGACACAGAGCACCAGAGGTGACTCCCATGTGGACTCTACCTCCCCCACTGGGGGACACTGGGCAAGTATCCCGTGCCCTTGGCACAGCCATGCCGCCTCAGGGGACCCAGGGCTCTAGGGTCCTCACTGGGCAGCACCAGGTCGACCTTGTTCAGGAATTATTCAAGTCCAAAGTCCCCAAGAGGACTCAGCCCCCAGGTCTGCCTTGGAGAGGGATACCTGTGAACCCCAGGACACCTAACAGGACTCAGGGTCCCCGGCCCCATGAACTTCTGGCCCTTGAACCTTCAGTGACTACAGGTTCACTTTAACCTCAGTAAGAGAGGCACAACAGGGGCTGGGGATTTAGCTCAGCGGCATAAGCGCCTGCCTTGCAAGCAGGCAGTCGTGAGTTCGATCCCTGGTGCCGATAAAAACGAAAAAGACCAAAAAAAAAAAAAAAAAAGAGGCACAACAGAGAGCTTCCTATACTACCAAAGCCCCGAACAGGGCAGTTTGGCAGCTTCAAGGGCAGTCAGCATGTTGTGTGACCATCACCAATGGCCTCTGCGGAGCTGTCCCATGTCCCCATCCTATGCCATCCCACTGCCCCCCACTGGGCCCTGACACTGGCATGCTACTTCCTATTGCTGTGGATTCGCCACTCGGCCTGCTGCACCAAGTACAGCTGCCATGCATGAATTTATTCTCAAGGGGGCACTGGGGTGGGACCCAGGGACTCGAGCGTGCCAGGCAGATGCTGTCCTCCTGGAAGCTGTCTTGCTCT